TTGGCAAAAATCAAAGCTGTTCCCCAGCTCCAAGGCTACTTGCGTGCTACCTTCGCGCTCACAAATGGGATTTATCCTCACAAATTGGTGTTCTAGATTCTTGCAGAGAACTTAATTAAATCACTCGAAGTTTGATTGTTTTGTTTTCTTTTGGTAAATTCTCAACCTAATTGAAGAGTTTTTGCACCTCCTAACAGGAATGGAAGTATATAGGCTTAGAACTTTTGGCCCTGTGGTCACCCTTGGCACTGATGTCAACATTCTTTCCCTCAGGTTCTTTGTGTCTGGCTTAGTTTATCCACTTAACTGACATCCCACCAGTCATCCCAGAACAGGGCCAGGTGAGAACACCCTTGTTAAGACCACCGTGAGGCCCCTGGACTAGAAATCCTTTCCTTCCTCGCATGATGGGATGAGCTGCTAACCATAAAGTCGGTAAGATAGATGAGGCTGTCTGCCCCAGGAGATGGACTGTGTTCCAAAGAAGTGTGGTCTTGGCTAGCACTATTTTCCGTCTGCTTGTATAATGGAAGCCTCAGTCTGCGAAACCCCAACGTCTCAGAAACAAACCCTGTGTGGGTGGCTGGCTATGAGTTGGAAGAGACTCGTGGCAGTTTTTAAATACTTCTTGGTTAGGCAGTGGGCTGCTCACCACCTGCTGTTCTGGTGAGAGCCGGGATGGTATTCCCGTGGAAACTTCCAGCCTCGGCAGCCCGTGGGGGCTCTGGTGAACAGAAGTCACTGCCAGGTGTGAAAGCCTGTTTTCAGTTCTCCCCTAGGCAACTAGGAATGCGTTTGCCGGGTTAGGTGGTAGTGACCCTTTCTAAGAAACAAGACATTGCCATTTTGCATCCCTTTGAGCACAGAATTGTCAGAATCCACTGCCTTTGAGTCATACCCACTCAGCAATCTAGGGATGGGTAGAACTGCCCCTGTGGGCTCCCCAGGCTTTCCTGGAGCAGAAAGCCTTGTCTTTCCACAGTGGCTGGTGGTTGCCAACTGGACCTGTGTGTAACCCCTGCGCCACCACGTATGGGTCACTCATTTAAGGCCATTTTATTGGGGCTCTTGAAGCTCTCATAACAGTCCATACGTTATTTTTGTACATAAGTTGCCTACCTGGTATCTAGTTTTTAGCCATCCTAATGAATCCTGATACCCTCTGGTGTTTGTTTTGAAGCTTCTTGAAAATGTCCTCTGCCTTTTTGTGGCTCTTCGCTCCAAAGTTGTCGGGTGGAGGGCCCTGTCTCCTGACTGCGCCCCTCTCTTGCTTGTTGGGTGCTGTCCAGTCGGTCCCCGCTCATGGTGACCCTGGGTACAACAAAACGAACACTGGTTCTGGGTCCTCCCTGTTTGAAGAGAACTTTTCAGCAATGTGTACATCCAGCTTCCCTGCCCCTTGTTTAGTTTCCCAATTTGGGCTGCTTCAGTCACCAACCTGCTGGACCCTCTAGTCCTCTCACCCTGCCTTATGCCTGCTCAGCTGACATTGTGATCATTTGACTTCCGACGTGGCTTGCCCAGAGGCAGGAAACAGGCCGGTGGGAGCATCTGTTCAGCTTGGCTGATTTAGTTAACCATTAGAAAGCTGTGGTGTGGTTTGAAAATCTTGAAAGATGAGGCTTCCAGTTTTTCCTGCCGATGTGCCAAAATTGATAGGTGTATGTGCGAGGATGCTGACAGCAAGTATTCGGGTTCCATCAATAGAGGATGAATAAAAGTAGTTGACATCAGAGACCAGAGTATTAAGAAACTACATCGCCACTGAGTAGAACTAACCCCTTTGGGTTTCCAAGGCAGTGAAGAAAATTTTTTTTTTGGTGAGGGGGGAGCTGTAAATCTTTACTGGAGCAGGAAGCCTCTTTCTTCCCCCTGGAGCAGCTGGTGGATTTGAACTGCTGACCGTGTGGTTCACAGCCCAATATAGAAGCTACTAATGTGGTTTAAAAGAGTGAGGTGGCTCTATCTGAACTATGAAGGGACGAGGCAGGTTGAGCAGAACATGCAAGTTAGACATGAAAAGAGCTAAGGTCCCATCCAGATCTTTACAAACCAACTACAAAGGAATTTGTTTCAGCAGTTTTATTTTCTCTCAATTTAGGAGGTTAGAAGTGTGAATTCATGGTGCCAGCTATACAAGATGTTTTTCTCTCTCCGAGTCTCCTCTGGAGCAAGGTCTTTGTTGCTTCTGAGTTTCTGCTCCTACAAAGGAATTTTGAGACAAGGCAATGTTAATACAGCCTGGAAAGATGGGGCTTTTTACTCTTGTAAAGAATCACCGTCTCAAACCCATAGGGGCAATTCTACCCTGTGTAGAGTATGTCAGGGAGCACGTAAGATGAGAAGTTAATGCGCTCAGGCAGTTTTCGTTAACTGGAAAGGGTTAGGAAGTAGAATGTGCAATACCTCACTTTCTATTAAAATACATTTAGGTCTTCAATTACATTATGGAAGAGCTAAAAGAATTTTGTTCACGTGGGGATGTCAATACTTTAAAAGCCAAAAATACTTACTTTATAATGGCAATACAGTCATGTAAATAACATTTTAAATGAAAACAGTTTTTTTCTACCTAAATTGGAAGAATGACATTGTCTTTAATTTTCGCAAAGCTCGCAGTGTCTGGCTTTGTCTCCATTTCCCCAAAACTTCATGCCCTCTAGTCTAGATCCTGAGTCCACAGGGCAGAGTAGAACTGCCCCTGTGGGCTTCCAAGGATGGCACTCTTGGCAGAAGATTCATCTTTCTCCCACTGGGTGTCTGGTGGGTTCTAACTCCTGACCATTGTAATTAGCAAGCAGCACACTGCCTAACCCTTGGCAGTGCCAGGCACCTTGGCTTCATAGAAGGCAGCTGGATTCTTGTTCCCCTAAGAGAGCATGTTCCACAGGTTCTGGAAAACCCACTCTCCCATCCAGAGAACAAAAGTGAGACAGTCTTGGTCACATTCTAATTGTTTTGTGTTTAGACCTAAGGGACCCCTTTCAGGCTCTTAGGGGTGCCTAGAACCTACTTTGAGAATGACTGTCCTAGCCCCTTGGCAATGTTCCATCAGAGTGGAGTCTCCTTCCCCCTGGTGACTGGCTTTGACCAACAGAATGGCATCCACGATGCGGTCTAGGTCTTGCAGCTGCTAGGCCCTGTGAGAAAGCCCCAGCTAGCCTCCCTAAGACCAAGACCACGAGGATAAAGAGGCCTGAAAGCCAAGAGAGCCAGCTCTGACCCCAAGACGTGAATGAGGGCTTCAGAGACCCTCCAGCCCCAGCTGAGCTGCTCCGGTCACATGAACGGCAGCCCTCCGGAACTGCCCAGAAGTGTAAGCATGGAGAAGAACCCTGGTCTTTTGCTGTCCAGTTGATTCTGACGCCTGGCACCCCTTTAGGACAGAGTAGAGCAGCCCCGTGGGCGTTCCCAGGCCGTAACCTGTAAGGAAAGCAGACCGCTTCATCTTTCTCCTACATAGGGCTTTGAACCACTAACCTTTTGGGTTAGTTGGAATAGTGCTTCACCACTGTGCCACCAGGCCCTTTTTTAGCATATAAAATAGGGGTGGCTTTTAAGTCACTGCTTGGCTTAGTAGATGATGGATGGATTGTGCGTGTGTACATAGTCATTGAAAATAATCTGAGTACGCAACAGGAATGTTGGGAAACAAAGAAGCCCCGGTTGAAAGAAGTACCAGAGCCGAGTCTGGAACAAGGGTATTCCAAAGAAAACCTCCACACA